GACCCCAATGCCCCATCCACTTCTCTCTTAAGCGCACCTAATACCACGGTGACCATCGCTATAACTCCTGGTGCGCTCTCTACAACTCCGTCTAGAAGACGTGGTGGCCGATTGCCGCGAGGAGAGTCCTTGTATGCCACTCGTGGGGATCAGCAAGTGCCACCAAATACACCTACCCCCCTCCCCATACACGGCCAGAATACCAAGGAGAAGCTTGACCTTAAGCAGCCTTCGTATCGGAAAACAGACCGCATATTGCTTTTCGAAAGTAAGACGTTTGGCCAAGCCCGATATGTCGATAAGGCAATGATGAATGTCGGATACCAAGAGAGCGATAATTTTATTCGACCCGATAGAAAGCTAATCAAGGCGAGTGATGCGAACATCGAAGACGAGGCAGATCAGGCTGCTGTTGTCAAGGTTGATGGAGAACCGATTCCTCAGCCAACTAACATCCTCGGCCGTGTCGAATACGACATGGATGAGCAGGATGATATGTGGCTGGAAGCGTACAATGCACATAGGAAGTCGCAGGGCTGGAATCCAGTTACTCGTGAGGTTTTCGAGATCACAATCACCAAGGTCGAGAAGGAGTGGCACGCGCTAGAGAAAAGAATTCCAAAGCCCAATCCAAAGCCGCCGCAGACTCATCGACCTCGATCTAGCTCAGCTGCGGCCGTTAATGGCGAGCCGCAAGCGGGCGAAGAGCAGGATAGTAAATGCGCGATCTGCGATGATGGGGATTGCGAGAACACAAATGCAATTGTTTTTTGTGACGGATGCGATCTCGCGGTCCACCAAGAGTGTTATGGTGTTCCATTTATTCCGGAGGGTCAATGGCTTTGTCGGAAATGCCAGCTTATTGGCCGTGGTATCCCGGTCAGTTCCTTTAGTCCCGCTCTACCGCTTTACTCAAAACCCATGCTAACAACACCCAGACTTGCATTTTTTGCCCCAACTCCGATGGTGCTTTCAAACAGACGAACTCCTCAAAATGGGCACATTTGCTCTGCGCCATGTGGATTCCAGAGGTGACATTGGGCAACCACACCTTTATGGAACCGGTCATGGACGTGGATAAGGTCCCGAAGAGCCGCTGGAAGTTGACCTGTTACATCTGCAACCAGCAGATGGGTGCCTGCATACAATGCGGTAACAAGGCATGCTACCAGGCTTTCCATGTGACTTGTGCCCGACGAGCTCGCCTGTTCTTGAAAATGAAGAATAGTTCAGGGGCTCTGGATGTTCTTGATGGAAGCACCAATCTCAAGGCGCTTTGCGATAAACATTGTCCTTCCGAATACGCTAAAGAGAATGACGTAGTTCGGGCTACTAAGAGAGCCAAGAAGTTCTACAAGAAGACAATGAAGGATCGCATTTGGGCCAATAGTCAAGCTAAGGCCATGACAATTGCAGCGTCGCACCGGAATGCGATAACTGATCATCCACCCGACGAATGTCAAATGACTGGAGCTAAACTTTCTGCCGTCCTTGGGGATAAGAAAGGACAGGGTGGGAAATCAATATGGAAGCTACCGTCCGGAGCTCCCGTCATACCACAAGCCGTTTTCGAGATTGTCGAAGCCTCTTTGCAGCGCTTCAATTTCCTTAAGCGCAAGGAATTTGTGAGTGACGCTTGTCGTTATTGGACATTGAAGCGCGAAATGCGTCGTGGTGCCGCGCTTCTCAAGCGCTTACAGCTGCAAATGGAAACATTCTCTTCCATGGAGCTCACTCGACGCAACTTTGCAGCTATGGGTCCTTCCGGCAAGGCGCGCCTATCAAGGCGAATCGAATTCGCCCAGACCCTTATCGAGGATCTAGAACAGCTCAAGGCCTTGTCAGAGTCGATAGTCCAAAGAGAACAGAGCAAGCTCGAAGCTGCTGAGATGGAACAAGAATTCGTCGATACGTGCTACTTCCCTGTTCACAAGATGCTTCCCCCTATCGTGGAGAAAGCAATTGCGTAGGTCAACAGGCAGTCAGCAATTATTTCCAGGATGCTAACTATATCTCCAGGCTCGATAAAAATCTGTTCCACGAAGGACTGCTGAAGCTCTCTAATAGAATTGATGAACGATTCTACACCACAACCCTGACCTTTACTCACGACCTCTGTGAGATAATTAATATCGGGATCAACACCGAGCCTAGGCCCCAGTCTGAGTCGCAACAGAAATCTAGCCTTGTTGCCATAGCCGTGTCCAAGTCTGACTTTTCTGATTTTCGAGATCGGAAGAAGCTGGGTAAAAGAATCCTTAAGTCGGTTCAACCACAGCTGGAGACGGCACTACGTCTCGAGTCAGAGGCTGCGAACAAGACATTTGAGACGATGAGACAAGAATTAGAATCTATGATGGAGGCTAGCCTCTCACTACGGCAACAAGTTCTTAACCAGGGCAACGGGGAGTCCGAGCGAAGCCAGGACGTTATCATGGTCGATTCGTCGGCTCCAGAGATTACCGTTGGCGGCGAACTTGACGGTTCTACTGCTGCGGGAGAAACCGCGGGTGATGTGCCTATGGCTGGAGCTGGGATTGCTGGTGGCAGTGGTAATATCGAAGTCAACACATCCAGCTTGGAAGGGGACGAGATGGAAGGTGTTGAATCGACTACGAAGTCTATGTCTCTTCGAGAAGTGCCAATAATCGAAGGCAAACCAGAAGCAAAGTCAGCCGATGGTATGCAAGCGATAGATACACCACCGGCGATGAATGGCTACGTGGGCGCAACACCCTCACTACAACCCACACCTCCTACACCCCCTCAATCCAACGGTAGCTTAGGACATCAGCCGATAGACCCACTAACCGATGGTGGCGTCGTGTGGTATCTACATGACTTTGAACCCGACGGAACTTCTGCTACTCAGGAACAGTGGCAAGGACGAGACGCTGTTCGCAGCCTTAGCGAGGCGCTTACCGAGATCGACGAGGATGAGCTTAAGGGTCTCGGCGTCGAGATCAACGAAGATAGCATCACGGCATCTCCGGCAAACACTACCGAGACGGCGGAACCAGCTCCTATCGAGGTCGTTAGTCCTACGAAAAAGAGCACTTCCAAGGCGAAGAAGCGTAAGGCGCCTGCTAGGAGGCGATAATGCGGAGGACTTTTAATAGTGTATTCATATTCGTGCTTTTATTTCACCTCTTCTATTGATTCCCCCATACACTGTATTTGCAGACTCGAGAACCGGCTCGGGCCGGGTTCATATCAAGTTTATTCTATCGGCTATGCTTTTTTTTACGCAACACTATTCACGCGGTGGATTCTAGGGAGGCCGGATGGGAATAGTTCGGAGTTTAAGGCGCCGGCGCGACTTTTCACCAGAGACATGCGAGTCTTATTAAAAGGCTCTTTACCGAGAAACGGTCGGTTCATTAGTGCGTGTGTGCGTGTGTGCGTATGGTTTTTCTAGTCTTGGGGAGGTTCTTCTACGCCCGCCATCTGCCCACCATGGCGGCTTGCTATGTTATGTTATGGCGAGAGCCTGGCAAAGAGACTTAGTCGAATGTCTATATTCTTAAGAATCGGATCCTTTATCCCATGAGTTTTTCGTCTTAAGTTTAGACGCGATGTGATTTGAGACGGGATAGAGATTAGTAGACGAACGCATGCCTTGCTTAGATGCGTAAATGGTCTCCAGTAAGAATGACTACAATCTAGTCGGTGTTGTAGGAACAAGCAATGCTTAGATTAGGTTAAGGGGGTTCAGGCTATACGCCAGCTACAAGTCGAGTCTATTTGAGAGAGGGAAGTTATGCTAAATATAAAAGACGCAGTATGAATATCTAATAAAGGACCGCCGAGAAGTACAGTGTGCTGGGCCTCTTGTCATTCCTCCTAGTACCTAGGTACCTAGTCATTAGAGATTCATTAGATACATATATCCCTAATCTAAATTTCATAATGTTTCCTCTGTGGTGAGTTGGCATATGTGTCACGATTTGTTTGAATGTCGTTTGTTAGGTAGGTATCCGGGTAGTTCCTTCCCTAAGATGCCAGTGTGGATATGCCAATTGAACCCAAAACCCACCATCCCATCTTTACTTGCTCTCATTCATTAACTATTATTAAGAAGTGACCCGTATCCCGTGTTAATTATCACACAACACGCAACATGAGAGTCGCGTGGTCTAAAGGCTATGATTTCTCGTTCACATTGATGTGTTCCCACCTCTAAGTCCCGAGAAGGTTCCGTGTTCGATCCACGGCGTGACTATTTTTTTTTTCTCTTCTCTCTTTTGCTCACTTACCTACCTAGGTAGATAGTAGCTAGCGTAATACTACGTTTCTTAATCTTAATGTTGAAGATAGTTGTGTTCAGTAGTGGTTTGCTACAATACTGTATCTTAACGATATGATTTACTTACCTTGAAAAGGAATTGTGTTTAAGGGACTCTCCTCAATTGATGAAATAGAATCAATAGTAAGTACCTAACGTCTCATTCTCTTCCCCCCTTGTGAATGCTCTTATATGGGATGTAATAAGGAACTAGGTTTCAGTGTAATTGCAACGGAAGACGATACATATAAGCAAATCTCCTTAGATAATGTAGTACCTACCCTACCTACGTATGTAGACACCAATACACGTATTTCCCTATGTCGACAACCGTAATCCTTATCTAGCGTCTCTCTATAGGATGTGCTTCAAGTTAGTTTTACGGGCCGAGTTTTCTTAGACCACAATTAGGGCGACTAGATTTGAGATGTCCTAATTGTTCGCCGTTCAACATAAATTTGGTTATACTCAATTTCTAAACGAAAATAACAAGTCTCGAAATGACATAATAATTTCCTAGATTCATTCGGATGCTTATAATCGAGGCCAAGTACAGAAACAGTCTCCTAGATAGCTGCCCATCAAAGGGTTCGATGATGAGCCCGAAATGGCACTACTTATAGCGAACCTCGCAATTTAGCAATAAGGGTAAATTCTCTTAGATGGCAAATATATCGAGACAAAAAAAAAAGGTAAAAGAGATAGGTAAGAATCATGGTCCCGGAGAGGATTGAACTCTCAACCTTCGCATTTACGTAATATTTCCTAGGTATTTAGGATAATATTAGTACGACGCTCTAACCAATTGCGCTACGGGACCCTACGGCTAGTGCGCGCCACTGCGCAGATGATGGGAGTCGGCTAAGGTTTAGCCACCTATAACTACGGCACAGGGTGAGTGGTTGAATCTCAATAGGTACCTATCTATCGGCTATCCTTTTTATCTATTTTTGTTTTACGGGAGCGAGCATGAGCGTAACTATTGGAATGAACATTTTATTAGTGTGATAGGCTTTGCTAATGTAAAAAAGGAAAGACATAATTTCTCTAGCCATTGCTCACTGATTTTCTATGTGTAATAGTCACGAGGTCCTGCTCCAGTGTGTCGATTCGGGGGTTCATAGCATAACACACTCGTTCTTTTCATGAGCGCCGCCGGCTATCATCAGATATCAGCCAGTTTTCTCGAGAGGCAGGAGAGGGGGATCTTTCTGTATATCAAAAGATCGGGTAGGATCATACTATTACTTAGTAAGTAGGGTAGGTAAGCTATATCGATATTATAAGGATTTGGTTTCATACGTGCTTCATAGCTGATGGGGACAAGCCTTCGATAGTAACGTGGGAATCATAGAGGAGCTGTAGGTACTGGTCAGGTATATTGGATAATCCGAAGTGAAAAGAGAATGTAAAACATGTTGATTAAAGGGGGGGGGGGGGGTTGTAAACACAAACCACGGTACTGATTATTGCCTAAATATCAACTTAAAGAGACAGCAGATATATTGAATTGTTCTTCTCTATGGCTTACCTAATAATGAAGAAAGCTTGTTCATCAACCAAGGCATAAGCCGTTTCTCGCAAGGTTAAAAGCAGATTGAAACTGTCCCCTTGAGTTCCATGATAGTCGATGAAAGTCTAGATATCTATACTCCCATTACTACTAGCACTATGGGTGACGATACATTATCCTCAAAGACGTCCCCGAGATCCTCGGAGCCCATATTCAGAACTCTTCATCGACACAATATAGGGAGATTCCTCCCCTTAAGATAGTTACTCTTGTCGTTGGATCGTCACTCGTGCCACATGATCTTTCCACGTGTCGGTTGTCTGAGGTAACATGAATTCTTCGAAGACCGAATTCTAGTACTAGTCACAGGTATTAGCGCTTGCGACTCGATCGCTTTACTGAATCCCATCATGGCCCCTTCTCGAAGAGTATGTATAGGTAGGTAGGTACTTCTCCTATGACAGGAGCAGGGTTAATGCACTATCCGCCAGCAAAAATACCATGGCGATATCCATTCGGAATCGTACAAGTCTGTGAAGGAAAGAATCAGCGTAAATAACTATGCTCGGCTCCTCGGAAGCGTATCATCCTTCGAATTGAATACCTATAATATATAGGTGTATGTTGTTCCATCGTGGAATAGGTAGAAGCGAGCAGAATGATAGAACTTACCTATTTCCGAGTATCAAACATTCCCCTCTGTTATTAGCATTTCGGGTCTTCATGATTTAAAATGATTATGACGCATTTGTGGAAAGTCACCCCTGAATGGATGGAACAGCTTCGGAGCTTGCGCCGGAATAACCGGACAATCCCCTGAACGGAGGTATATCGGGTTCTGACCATTCGCTTTCCCAGAATCCACAGGCTCTAGCTGGAGCAAGCCTAGTCGTCACTCGAAAGAATACCAAAGATGGTCATATTACACTGTAGTAGCTGGCTCAGACTGGAGTGCGATATTAGTAGATACATGCGTTATTAGGCGAGAACTATGTACTCAACTAGATAGTTGCCCCGGAAATAAGAAGATATTCATGATCGCATTCTTGCCCATATATCTTAAGAATATAATAGTAGAAATGCTATTCCTTGGGCCACTCCTTGGTAGTGGTATGAGGATCGCCGCCGAGACATGTTTTGGTAACTTCAACAACAATTTTTCTACATGTCGGCGAGTGGAACTAGAGGCAGTATATCCCAACGCATATTTAATTAGGTAACGATGGAAAAAAGTCGGCCGTTCGGCCTTTGGTATTATAGGAAAGGTGGCTAACTGAAAGTATCCATCTCCTATGCTTTGGCACTGGAGGGCGAGAAAATATACATTATCTAGGTACCTAGGTAGGGCATCATGACTTACAGGATTAAAGCGAAGGTCTACTATTCTCATTGGTGATATCTTCTATCTTGAAGCGGCGGTTGCACAAGGCATGACAAGACGGAAGATGATGAATTATCGATAACCGAAATTGATTCGCTTCTGCGAGTACTTATTAAATCCTCAGATGGTAGGGAACCTACAACGTGTCATCCAGCATACCCTGAATAGGTAGGCTGTAAATGTAAGTTGTTCTTCTAACTGCATTTTGGTTGATTCCTAAGGTGGGAAAGTAGCATCAAATCTCTTCTCGGCGACTTCAAAGGTCTAATAAAATTCATGTCGTCGTAATGATGACACGCTTCAGACCGGGGAAATGGGGTCGGTTGAGTCGAGTTTTACGTTACCCGGTCTACCGGCTTCCCGTTACCTCGGTTGGATGCCGACTTGCGAGAATTACAGCTCGGTTTGCTTCGCGGGTAAGTGTGTTTATTGATTAGTACCTTGTCTTTGCTGCGCAATATCTCTGCAAATTCCCTTTATCGCGGCTCGGTGTCTAAGAGGTTGCTTCATCAAAAAGCTGACGTCACGATGGCACTTCTCGAGTTCAAGACGTCTACGCACATTCAATGATGGCTGAGTCATCAAACTTGTCAGACTGCCAGGAACCGCAAGGGCACGACCAATCAGCAATGTAGTGATGAACTTACAACGGTAACCTGCTTGAGGCTGATGATATCTTGCGTCTGGACCTCAATCATGTGACTTGGTCGTGAGAAGGCTTCTCAAGAGGCCAGAGGACTGTGGCAGCTAAGTATAGAAACGCGTCGAGCGTGAAGGTGTTCGTTGTCGTAGAACTTAGCTACAATATTCCACGGACCGTGGGCTCATGTAGCTTACAAATAATAGCAAACTGGGTATTTACGGCTGTGGGCTGTTCCACAAACGACTCCCCTCGCTTATGAACCAGCCCCCAATTCGACGACAGTGCTGTAAGAAATGCTGTATTTTGCGACATGTCCCGATGGTGGTTTCGGTTCTAGATGAGGCAACCGGTGTGGAATCCTGATTAGCCACGGGCGTCTGAGAGGACGAATGAGAAAATAGAGCTGGCGCCGTTGAGGAAATCGGTTTTACAATCCCTTATCTCTGACGGACGAGAAACGAGAAACGAGAAACGCAGAGCCGAATGACCGGAACGGCCCAAAAGGTTGACCCGCCACGCTCCCACAAAGGGGTCCAAATCGCCGACCCGAAACATAGCTGGAGACGTTGTGTCTAGTAACCGACCTCGCCAATGTTAGCAAGGAAATGAATTGGGGCATCGTTAAAATCTACGAATTACTTACCTCGGCGTTTGCTATTGGAATCGGACATCCTTTGCCCACCTGCTTATACGGGTATCCACGTATCCACGTCATTGACCCCTGAATGCATGCACGAATTGACCGAAAGCTGTTTATGTCTCCTAAAATTTTGAGAGTGCAGCGTGGTGGTCGTAGTCGATGCTGCGGCCGGCTTGGGAAGGAGAAACGAAAGGGATTCTTACGTAGAAATCAGTTGGCATCATCAAAGTGCCGTACGGCTGTTGTCCTTGGCAGTTTGAAGTTTAGCCAAACCATCAAATCTGGGGAAAATCATACCTCTGCCAGGTATACTATACAGTAACGTTGCGTACATATCATAGAAGCCGTGATGCTTCGATGCGCGGTCTCCGAGGACAAGAATGACAACAGTGACAAGAGTGATAGAACTTAAACGAGACACCACTGGAGTGGATTAAGCAAATCGTGGGTAGACTAAAGGCTTCTTCAGTGGGAAACAAAGCGGTGCCTGGTCTCGTCTGCGGGAGGTGACAAGCCCCTTTTCTGAACACCGTGTTGAACTCCCGGTGGGCTAGTAAAAACTTAATAAATGCGTGGCTCTATGCAATAACCGCCAGATAAGCGTCTTGAAACTTTGAACGACATGGAGCTAGTAGCTTGTAAGAAAACATATAAAAGACGAGTTAAGTGGGAGACGCGGCGACGCGTGTCTGGAGTATACCTACAGATCTGAATCTTTAAGTAGCACCGGCCAATCTTTCTCTCATTTAAATTCGTAAAATAGGCGACCTGTATCAATATGGAGTGAGTGTGAAATGAGCCAGTTAGACGAAGGAGATGTGAGACCAAAGGAATGAGACCAAAGGTTTAGGCATTGCCATACAGATGTACATAAGGTAGGGTTGGAACACAAGTCGACTTGTGGGAGGGTTAAGGTATCGTGACTAAATAGATAGGCTGGGACTCGGGCACATTAAAAAAAAGATCGCTCGGAGTTGCAATGACAAGAGATAGAATAAAGAGAAGAGAAATTGGGGCAATATATAAAGTCTGGGAAATGTTGGAGTTGTTTTAATAAATGGTTGATGAGAGTCAGGTTTAAGATGTTTGATATTGAATGCATTGCACCTGGCAGTTTACGACATTAAGGTACTAGTGAATTAGTACCTTTTTATTTTATTTTATATATTTTTTTATATTCAATACTAGGTACATAGAACTCTACCGGGCAGCTGCCGGGTATGCACCCAACCAAGTTGGATATTCGTGCTTTTCGTATTGTACCTTCCTTGTTTTCAGCGCGTTGGTAGTTGCCATTTAAGATAGATACCTAAGTACCATTGGGTACGGATTTTTCAATTGTCCCTAGCGCTTTTAGCTTGCACTGCCTCAATTCTGCCAATCAGAATCTCAAATCTGAAACCCCACCTTCTCACCTGCCCAGGTAAGTGCCCAGCATTCTTCTCCCGTATCAACACTCGGGCCCCCCCTAGCCCGGCCTGTTCCTTCTCCCAGACGTCCCCCAGCTGGCCCAGCAGCTTTAGTTCTTTTTAGTTCTCTAAATTCCCTGAAAGTTTGGGTATCGAAGAGCGAACCACAGAGCCTGATAGCACCAGGGCACTTCCATACACGCCCAGTACATTTTTTTTTTATGCTCTAGGGCT